ATCTGATGATTGCATGTCTGATGTTGCTGGCACATGATGAAGAGGTTTATGGAGTAATTTTTGTGCTAAGGTAGCACTGAACCGATGGAGCGCTTGATGAAGCAAATATTGGTCAAATGAGATGTGCTGACAAGAGCTGAAAGAGCGTTGGTGTGATGACTTGAATTCTAAATAGCGGTATTGTTAATGTGGTTATATGCTGATAATACGATCACATCACAAACACAAACCTATCTATTTCATGCAAGCTTCTAAGCCCATACTCTATATTCATATAAGCAGTAGCAGCAGCAACAGCAGTATCACACATCTAGCTTTAACATCAGTCATGGCAATGCCATACTGCAGTCTAGCTAGCTATCGTCCAACCCCTTCGTGACTGATTCTGTTGAGGTGAGCTGAGTTGAACCGCTGATTTGCTGCTCTTAGTCATTTTTCATTTGTAACGACCGTGATTCAGTCCCTTATTATCAGTTATCGGTAGATGTTCCGTTTCGCTGGTGGGTTGGTGGATTCGATGGATCAAAATTGATTCGGATTCGAGGCTTTAATAGAACCCAAGTGAAATTGGATTCTTTGAGAAGGTTGTAAAGGGAAAAGGCGGTCGCTCATTTCAGAGCACATCGATAGTCTTAAAGAATGTACGGTTCGATCTCAGAACGTCGTGTTCTGTTACGTATAAATAAACTCGCATCGTCCTCATCAGCATCATCAATTAAGTGTGATAAGCATTTGAACGTTTGTGATAAAGATGAAAACACTTGTGCTGTGCTACATCCAAGTGCTTCGTATTCTTATTCAAACACTATAACTGCTTCAATTCAAACGGTTCGGATTGATTGTCATTCTTTGATTTATTTCTCATTTCAAGGAATATTCATAAATCTTGGACAGATAAGTTCGCTGATTTTGCGTTATATGTTATGTGATTTTGCGTTATGTGATCACCTAGTGATTCACTTACTATATTAAGCATTTGATTTACATGGACCGTTCAGTTGATCATTCCGCAATGTCATTGATCAGTTTTTTCGCGAGAAGGGCATTTTGATAATGTGATAAAATCATAGATAATAGAGCAGGTCTAGCTAGACGAGGATCGTAAGGTCATAATTGATGAGCACTCACAGTTGGAAGTCATTTGAAATGTATTTGTTGTTAAGCTTGTAATTGATGGATTTTCAATAAGACGACAATCTCTCGAAGAGTCGCTTTTCTTGGTATTGAGGGGTTCATCAACCCTGAATTTATTGACACGAATGTAAGGATTCGGAATGCATGAAAAAAACTTTGATATATGGATTCGTCTGGCCGACTTGTTAAGAGAACTTTTGCGCTTTTGCTAAATCATTAGACGTGGATTATATTAAGCTCACTCCAGTAGTGTACCAGTGAGGTGCTGCTTAATCTCCTAAAACATAACTTGATAATGACCATACTTTTGGAATTCCTTAGGCGAAAGCATTCACTGAGTTAATCTCGAATCTCTTAATTGCATGTTGAGCCTGGTTAGTAGATAGCTAGATCTTTTAATAATTACATGTCATGTTAATTAGATGTGATTCGTTGTCAGAGTTTTGATACAAGGTCTGATTATTTTCAATCGATCAAATTCTCTAATAGCTTCCTCTCTCATACATTTTCCTCTCTTTGCATGGTCTTCTTAGTTAAGCTTATTCGAAATCTGGCACGTAAATGTGTTCAAGTTTCTGGTGATCCTGTTATTACGATAGCGAATATTCAATGGCTCAACTTATTTCTTAGGGTTACTCTGCTCTCCTCATGTGCACATCCATATACCAGCACTTAGATTGTTAAATACCTTGAAAAAAGCAGATGAATTACTTGAAGATTAAGGCATTTCGATTAGCAGTCATCCAATTTTCTCTTGTTTGACATACTTCTTCGGCTGCGAAATGTGATTTTTGTGCGATTATGAGATGAATTGCAGTCGATGTTACTAATTTTAAGCATATTAGTCACTTATAAGCTGTAAAGCTGCTGTCTGAATTTGAACGCCTTGTAGTTTGGAAGTGGTTTATTTTCATAGGTATATACGGATGTATGCTTTCATATGGCTGTTTATCATTCATTTAGTTGCTTTATTTTCCATAAAATAGGCTTATTATTGATATAAACCGCAGTTGATAAGTTGATAAGCTATCGAGCAGTATTCATTAAGATAAGCGTTAAGTGAGGAGGTTAGCCGTCAGTTTTGATCTCTGACTGGATTGGTAAATATGAGGACAATTGAAATTACATGAAAGTGTTTTGAACATTTGACTGACTTGTTTTGCAGATAGTAAGTTGATTTTTGAGTTTCAGGCGGCACGTGATACATCAGAATCGAATGAAACGAGCAGATTGGATGGTCAAGGCTCGAGTTCAGGAGGTGCAGGCTCAGCGAGATCAGCAGCTGGACGACGACGTTCTTTTGTACCGACCAGAAATAGCGATGAAGGCATCTCGTTAGCACTGAGCAGAGGTGCAAAAATCCCGGTGCCGAGTACCTCAATCAATCTCGCAACAATCACAGCCACATCCAGCTGTACATCCTCCGCGCCAGCAACTGACCGCGATAACAAACGTGTCTTCTTTGTTGACGAGCCCACTTCAAGCAAACATCATCAAATTATTTCACCAGACTCATCACGTTCTTTCACCTTTGCACATCTTCCATCTCACTCTACTTCGAACACCTCGGTATGTACTTACTCATCATTCATTTGAGAACGTTTATGGAAAGAGCGAAGATGATAGAGTTTTGTGATCTAGCGTTTAATCATTTGATCATATTGATTCCATTCCCGGAATGTGCTCACTTGATGCCTTTTTGATAATTTGACAATTGATCATTGTTAAACACTGGCTGAGGCCACTTCTGAAAGACTTCCTTTTGGAATTCTCACGCAAAACTAACATTTGTTTGGAGGCAGAAGTGCAAAAGGGCACGTTGAATGTTAAAGTGTGAGCCTAATGCACGGAAATACCTCATTGATATGATCGATCACATGCCATTTAGCCCTTTATCATCGTTATCCGCATCATAACCACAAAACATGAAACGTTCTCGACAGCTGTCGCAAATCTCATCGGTACTTCTCAAACAATCAAAGATCTCGTGCGTTCTAATTGCCTGAGCTTTCATTCTTATTTTTTCGCCGATTTCTTCTGTCTTTATCCTAAGCTATCCTCAGTCTATGCCACTTTCTAACCACCTCCCTCATTCTGTTTCATCTTTTCAAATTCGTCGAATTGAAATGATTTATGTTCGCCAATCCAGAAATGTCGTCACCACGAATCAAATGCTTTTTGCCTTCCTTCAATTTCAATCGATCAAAGGATGAAGGATATCTGTTAATCAAGAAGCAACCACAACAATAAAGATGCCCTTGATTAGATATTGTTTATGAATTGACAATGACCGAAATTGGACTTCATCCCTCTAATTAGTAAATCATTGAATCTGTTGAATTAAGCAATCAATCCGTTATGCAAAAAAAAAACTTAAGTGCAAAATTTACAATTGCTAATGAAGTTGTGTTGATTCGTTTTGCTCTTGAATGATTAACCTTGACATTTGTATCGTACCGCAGTATGTGTAGGTAGTTGAATTGAACGATGTTCTTCATGTTTTGTGCATGACTGAAGCACATTGAATGTTGAACGTACAACTAAAGAAGAATAATCGTGCACTTGCAAGTACAAACGCATGCTTGCGACATAAAGAGTATTCTTTTAGGAGAAGAGACTCTTGACTTTTAGTTTCATTTTTCTATTAACTCTTCATACATCCGTACGTTGTTGTCGATCAAATCATCGAAAATCTCGCATCTCAAACAAAAATCTAACAAAATAAAAATTACAATCTGAAACGAGGAATTTGAATAATAATTCAATTGTTAATACATCAGTTTTCTATTAGCTTGAAGAAGATTTTCTTTGATGAGCTCGTTTAAGGGGACTTCTGATTGCAAAATGATCGATAAATCAGATTGCTTACTGGTCAACTTATTGAAAACATTGTGTCTCGATTAGATTGTCATGGAATATTGGAATACAATATTGAGTTCGTTGTGAATAGCAATATTAATCGTAAGCAATCATAGTGGGAATATCGGCAATTTGTGATTTGTATAGCAGTTCTCAAATGATCACTTATGAAAGGCAAAATTTATTCAAGTTTATCGAACAAGAGCAATAGGACACAATTGTTACACTTCATTTAGAACGTCATAATCCTTCGTTGGTGTTTATTTAACCGCTAAACTCAAGCCGAAATGTCGCTTGCACAATAACATTTGAACATTTACTTACTGATGCCAAGTCAACAGTCAGTGCATATTCAATGAACAATTCACTTACAAAAATAAGCCTCCCACTCAATCCTGTCCTGTTTTCTTATATAAACACGTTCTCGGCGTTCCAAGATGCCTACAGGAGCCTGAAAAGTGGATGTTGGTTCAGTGAAAGCTGATTATGAGATGAACATAAGTATGTACACAAAAATGTGCAGAGAGCTACCATTCAAGAAGGTGACCGGAATTTGATAGTATAGAACTAGACTGATCGTTTCTGATCAAGTTAATTGATCATCCTCTGATTCACTGATTAGTTTTATGATCGATTGTTATGTTCAATGAAGATGGACAAATTTTTGAATTGAGTTCTCATCAGACCACAAAAATTGCACTCGTTAGCAGCTTTGAAGTGTCAGTCGAGTTTACCACTTTGTCCAATTACTTATCACATATTCTTTGTTAGGTCCGGTATCTTTATATGGGATGGATTAAT